GCCTGATCACTTATCAGTAAACACTCAAATCTTTCTGAGCCTGAACCATTTGGGGAACAGATTTGCCAATTTCCCATGGGTCCACTTGGAGTCCATTTCAACAATAAACATTCACTAAGAATTTCACTCACTCAGGGCTTCCTCCACTCCCTACAAGACACACAGTCAGGAATTTCTGTCAAGGGTGTTTTCAAAAACATTTAACTGAGAAAAAAACACCCACCTAACATTGGGGAGCAACATCCCATGGGCTAGATGAAGGGCTAAATAAAAAGAGAAAAAGGAGAAAGCCAGATAAACTTTGGAATTCCCTTTTACTGCTTCCTCAGCACTACAGACCAAGTTGCTCCCACTGCCATGAGCTTCATTCCTCAACTGTGAGGTAAAATAACTTTGCCTGTAAGTTACTTCCTGTCTAGCATTTAGTAGAAAAATAACCAATATATGCACTAAAAAACAATGATGAATCATAAGCAAAAAAACAACAATCATGATGTGAATAAAGAACTCAAAGGACTGGAGAGATGATGGTTCAGTGGTTAAGAGTACACAAGTTCAATTCCCAGGACCCACATCTAAAAGCTCACAGTGGCCTATAAAACTCCAGCTACAGGAGATCGAACACCTCCTCTGTTTGGCCTCCACAGGTACCTGTGCACGTACATGTCATACACACAGAGAAAGATACTCACATAAATAAAACTAAATCTAAGAAAGGAGAGAATTCAAGAATCTCTCACTACAGCTGCGGGATTTCATTTTTGTTTGGGTTTGTGTTTTGTTTTTGAGACAACATCTCACTATATAGCCCTGGGTAGTCTGGAACTCATTATCTAGACCAGGCTAGCCTTGAACTCATGGAGATACACCTGCCTCTGTTTCCACTGTGCCTTACTTATTAAGCCATCTCTACATCCAGCTAACGTACACATTTTGTCTGATGTAACTAGTAATGGCCACTGCAGGTTCAAAATGATTACATCTAGTTCACTATCATATAGCCACCAAATAAAAAAACACAATTTTCACTTTAGATCCTTCTACTCCAAAACCTACATTTTTTCCCCTTTAAGAGAACTACCAGAAATAAACACACATGACTCTCAAGTACTGAATTCAAACTAACATGATCCTAACTAAAGGATAACTTAGAAATATACATTCAATGTTTTAAACACATGCACGCACCAAGAGGGTTCCCCAAGCTCATCTGTGCAATATCATTTGCATAAGTAAATATCAGTTTCAAAATGAAAGACTGATAAATGGATTGAAACTGCCTATTACATACACAAACTAGAAAGATGACACTTTATGTAGATCATCAAACATTGTAATAACATTAATGCACACTAACAAATTCCTATTAGCAACAATTTAACATCACAAATGTAATTTTAAAATATTGGTATTGTTTGTCCTATTATCACTTGACAGTTGACTGGTACTCTGAAATACTTTATAAACATTTTTTATAAACATGCTTTATAAACATGTAAAAAGTTTATCAAAAATGTATAAACTACTTAGCAAAAGGGAACATGCTAAGATATCCTCAAGCAAATATATTAATTCCATATAATACCAATCGTGTAAATAAAGGCAAAAATAACAAAAAAAGTAAATTTTTAAAAAGGCATTAATAGAAAAAACTTTTGTATTAATCCAAGATCATGCAAACCAGAAACTCAAAAGTTAGCCTGGACTCTCTCCTCCTACATTAGCCTCTATATTCAGCCAAACACAAGTCTCTAAAACTTAACTCAATTTCATTTCTCCACTAATTTCTCTTATTCACTAGTATTACTGCTATGGCATAAGCCAATATTCTGTGTCCTAGACCCTCAAGCCTTGGCTGTTCTCCTATACTAAAGTAACTGGTTTTGTCTTTTTAAATTCAAAATGATGGTGTTCCTTTGCTTCAGTGACTTCCCATAGGCTACTCAGGATGAAGACCAAAATACTTAGCAACAGACCCTTGAATCCAGCCTAGAGATGCAAACCTAACTACCGGCAGGCTAAGTACTGATTTATTACATTACTTATCTGACACCTTAAGTGAGTGACATAAAATGGAGAGCACAAGCCTGTCCAGAGGGAGTCAGAGGGAGCCAGATTCCAACCAAGTGTTAGCCATCTGAAAATACACCCTGGAATACGGATCTAGCCTCAAAGTCTTTTAGGAAATTATCAGCGATCCAGACTTTCACATCAATCTCCCAGTTTGTGCATGCTAATAACTAACTCAGGCTTCTATGACCAGGGAATAGACAGGAACTGTAAGCCACATCTGTCTACTTGCTTCACCTGGCCACACAACTACACAGCCTACTACATCAGTCATTGGAACAATTCTTGCAGCCTTGAGGATGTCAAGCTTTTTTCCCACTAGGACTCTCAGTGCAGCCTCTGTTCCTCCCATTACTATACTTCAGTTAGCTTTCTTCACGTTTCAGAGCCCCTCCTCCCTCAATGAAACCTTCCTCTTCTCATTGCTCTCTACCTCCACGACAAATGCTAGACAGTCACTCCCTAAATTCTGATTGCTCTGAGTACAACTTTCTAGCTCCCCAAACCAAAATCACCTTTTAAATGTCCACTAACCTCTCCACATGGGAGGCTCCAGATGGGCAGTCTGAACAATATTTACTGTTAGTTAATAACTTGGCTATAAAATAATGTAGTTACAAAATGTTCCTCTTAAAATAGTTACCAAACTGTACCTAGCTTTTCAGAAACATAAAATGCTTAAAGCAGAGTCAGAATTATAATATCCCAACTATAACAAGTGATAATAACCTAACATATATTGATAATTGGCTGAATGCTGTGCACAATATTGAGAACTCTGCACATATTATATCACTCAGTACATAACAACCTGTAAAGTAGATGTCACAGTCATACAGAGGGAAACAATTGGAGCTGATTAAAAATTAGCTCAAAAATCACACATTTTAGTCACTGAAAAACTGTAAAATGACTAACTCCTGAACTTAAACCCATACTATGCTACCTAATGCATTCATAAAGAAACACTAACCCAACAAGTAGCTCTTAAACACCATTTACAGGAAATATGGCCATGATTTGCCTCCAATCGCCTAGTAAATTGAGGTTCCTCACTCCTGTCCCTAGCCCTTACACACACACACACACACACATACACACACACACACACACACAATTTTTGCCTTCTATATTACAAACACAAAAAATAAGTATGATCTCAATTACAAACAATTCTATAAAAATACTTTCTGAATTATTCTTAATCAAGTTCATATTTGCACATTAATTTGCTGTAGTTTTAAATGTATACTTAATTTTAAATGTATTTGCTTGCTCAAAGTAAAATTATTCTTAATAGAGTGTTTGCAGATGAGAGGAAGCAACAAAATACTAAACAAAGATAAATACAAACTGTTAATGCTGTGGAAATAGATAATACAGAGGTCCTTCACTACTTGAACTCTCAACACATGAATTCGAACTGTCTGACTCGGTAACCAAGCAAATGCAATACATATATATCATTTGCTAGCTTGACTCTTCCTATCTCAAACTAAGGATGCAGCTCACCAACCACCCCTCAGCTATCAGAACTCCTGTTTCTCACAACAAACTCAGGAACCAGGTGTTCTCAGTAACAACAACATATATACATACATTCATGGGCTATAATGTTTAAGGGTTGTTATTTACAAGACTTAAGTAGACCTTTTTAAAATTGTGCAGTAAAATGCACATATCTACATGTTCATTCTAATTTGTATTTTAACTTCAACCAATTGAGAATTTTTTCTTAACTCTCTAAATAGAAATTCATTAAACTAAAAATTAGAAATTTCTAGAAAACTTTTACCCATACAAAGGAAGCTCCTTATTAGTACATGACAGATAACCATAATAGCTAACTGACATTAATGCATCACTGCTGTCAAAGAGCTCTAATGCCAGCCTTAAATACATTCTTTCCCAAATGCTCATCATATCTTATATACATACCATGGGAAATAAGGTTGTACAGAAAAACTGCTTTATTTTTCTCAGCAGATATTTCCCAGACCAAATAAGATTTTTCTCAGAGAAAAATTAAAGAATCTAAAAGTACTTAAATTGAAATATCAAAAAAATCCCAAATTATAGAAAAATGGTATGAAACCCTATTAGAAGTACTCCATAAGGTAAAACCAAAAGTCAATGAACCACCAGGCAAGCAATGATTAACTATGCTGACAAATGGAGAAAGCCCTCATTACAATAGTGTATTGTCCCAAATATTTAACTTGGGCTCACATTTGAATCTAGGCTTTTCAAAATCCTCACGCTTAAGTTCCACTGCCAGTTTTCTACAGGGAGGGGTTCTTTCTATCATTCGGGTGGTCTCATCTCAAATACATAATTCTTCCTCACACATTCGATAATTAGCTTATGAGAGAAGAGACACTTTTGCAAAGAGTGAATTGCCTCCAAAGTAGTCTCTTAGGTAAAAATACAGAAATGACTTAAAGGCTTGTGCAAGCAGAGCTTCCAATTCATCTTCACTATAACCCCCACCCCAAGAGCTCGGTTCAGATTAACTGACCAAATTATAGTAGTTGGAAACACACCACCCACATCTTACATTAAGACAAACAAAAAAATAAGAGCACACGCCAGAGCTTGGACTTGTTGGGTGAGCGAAGTCTAGCAGCTGTCAAGATTCAATGACTTCACAGGGTAGCAACACGTCCTGGATGAGCGCACCCTGAATCCCCTATCTCCACTCCCAGCTGTCCACAGCAGAGGAGTCTGAAAACTAAGGAACTCTAGCAGTCCTTCCAGGCTATGGCTCCACTCAGCTAGGTATGAGCCAGCAACGTTTAACACTGACGTTTTACTGAAAAAAGAAAAAGAAAAAGAAGGAAAAAAGCAAAAGCAAAAGCAGTGAACTGTTCCTTGCTCTACCAAGAGAGAGCCTAAATTTGAGAGTATCAGAATTTGAAAAACAAACGAACCTGTGTCTGTGTTCGTCGGGTCCATGGATCAGGAAGACTCCGGGGTTTTTAGCCCCTTTGCCGGCATCTACGTGAGGAATTAACACATCTTCTAAGCCCAGATCAAAGCGTTTGTGTTTTGAAGAGTCTGGAAGGAAGAAGAATGCCCCAAAACACAGGGTGATGAAGGCACTAAGAATAAGGAGAAGGATAAACTTCTCGGAGAGTCTCAAGGTAGCCCTGTGGTGTGGGAAGGAGGGCGGCCCCAGGTTCAGAGGTGGTATCCTACGACCAGACAGGGGCAGCAGCGCGGGGGTAGTCATCGTTTAGGCTCTTGGACGGAATACTTTATAAAGTTCTCATCTTATATCAAACGTACAAGACATCGAACCGTTTTTCAAAACCTTGGCAAAAATGAATAAACTCAATTTCCCTCCTTTCAAAGGATTGTTGTGCTTTTTTGTTTTTACGAAGCCACCTCTTTCACGCTCTCCGATTACATCCAGAAGCCCGGGTGACCTCCCAAGCGATCGCTGGTCTCTGTCCGGTAAGATCTTCTCGCCATTTGGCTCTCAGTGCCTCACCGGGTGATCGCC